TATAACCAGGCTCTAGATTGTCAGGAATTGCTATGCTATCCTCAAGGTAAATATAGGCTCCAAATGTAATACAACAGTAAATTCAACATTTCTTGTTATTTTTGACCAGAAAGGAATTCTGTTAATTTCCCATGAGTTCAACTATGCATTTAAAATATCTTGTTTTTTGTTTTTAGAATTTATTGTAGTATTATGCTGTGATTTGTTATTATAAACATATTCTTAGAAACAGAGGTCCTATTTTATCTTTAATAAATAGATTTCAACCCTCAAAGGGACTTATATTGGGATGTAAACTACTCCATCTAGCTCCCTCCTTCTCATCAGTCTTTTTGTTATCTACTCTGTTATACTTAAATTCCTACAAACAAAAGAATAATTCTTTTTTTTTAAAGATTTTTGTTATTTATTTGAGAGAGAGAGATCACAAGTAGGCAGAGAGGCAGGCAGAGAGAGAGGGGGAAGCAGGCTCCCCGCTGAGCAGAGAGCTTGATGCGGGGCTCAATCCCAGGACTCTGGGATCGTGACCTGAGCTGAAGGCAGAGGCTTAACCCACTGAGCCACCCAGGCACCCCTAAAAGAATAATTCTTATGGTTTTAATTTCTTTTAGAGGTTTAAGAAACTTTGTCTAGTGACTGGTAAATAAATGACCTGTGTTTTGCTGGGTAACCTTCTTCAGTATTCCCTAATCTGAAAGTTGAGTAGCTTTTTAAGGCCATGCCCACTACAGAGTGGCCAGCATTATCTTTGGGATCCCTCCATTTTCTCTTATGAAATGTGAAGAAAATACCACATTTAAAAACATCTTCCAAAATGGAGGCTCCTGGCTCCGTGAGAAGATTTTTGGGAATCTGTGTGTGTTTCCTGGGCTATCATAACTTTCTACAGGTGGTTCTATGGCTTGAAAACCCTCCTGTGGTTTGTATGTGTTTGGGAAAGCTCTAAAATTTAATAATGTAAAGATATTGACTTGTGAAAAATCCAAGAATGATGCGTTTGGTGCCTTCTGGTTCTGAATGGGTACAAGGGTATTGACATTTTTCTCTTTAAACTACTTTTTATACAAGGAGCAGGAGCACTGTAAGGAAGAAGGCTCACTACTATTTCACAGAAGGTGCTAGTGACATGACTGACTTCTGCTGGGGAAATACAAGTGTTAATAGTCAAGCCTGGCAGAAAAAGATTTTCAGTTTATTTCACATGTTTTAATGTGTAATTGTAATTTTATAAGTATATGCTATCAATGGTTTTCTCTTCACAGTTACCTACTTTTAAACAGACCTTTCATTTTACCTTTAATGATGTGTTTATATATACTTCTTGTAGGGTCACAAAGCTGTTTAAAACTATGAAAATTCTTTGCTACTCAGTAAATAGCCTTTAACCACATTTGGGGTAGGTATTGGGGGGTATAATATGCCAATTATAGATTACCTTTTTATAGCAAACATTTTCTAGAATTCCACACTAATACAAGTAATGTAGAAATATTTCTTAGAGTTAATATCCAAAGTGAAAGGCTTTCTTCCATATTTCATCTGTGGTTAATCAAGAATTTAATTATTATACTGTGAGAGAAATTAATAGCATTGTTAAAAGGAAAAAAATCAAGGTAAAATGTGGAAAGAAGGTGATAATTGAAGGATTAGACAGCTTCTTCTAAAAAGAAGCTGGAAGTATAATAATATTGTGTAAATTATCAGAAGTAAGCTTGGTACCAGTTAAATTATGGGATTTGAGAAAATATGTGGGGCAAAGGAGTCTGAAAAGTGGTTTGAAATAGGTAACACACAGGTTGTTACAAAACTTTGAAATTTTGACCTGAGGGCTTAATAAATAATTTACATTTTATATCAAGTATTTAGAATGTGTCACTCCAAATGCATTGTCATCAAGTGACTAAGAGCTTGAAGTAGTTTAAAGAAGCAGGTAGTACCTGTGAAAAGAGAAAAGATTTTGAGAGAGAATTGAGTTGAAACATTAAGGCAAAATGGACTTTAAATTCAATATATAAATATGTAGAAAACTAAGACTTATAAAAAATCCCACAGGACTTCTTAAATAAAAGGACTGCTGCTAATTTCGCAAAAAGGAGACCACTCTCCCTTCTCACCCCCAGAAAAATCCAAAACAAAAAACCAGTTTCTAATTCTGTTAGATATGATGAGAGGACACAATGGAGGTTGGGAATTCAATCAAGTTGCAAGAGAGTAACTGGAAAAAAATCAGAGAATATCTTAGTAATGAGAATCCTCGGGAATGTTTGTCTGAGAATATTTTACCTAGCAGCCTTCACATTTGACACCCTTCATTATGGAGAACATGCCATTTCAGTTAGTCTGGCCAAGAACTAACTTAATATTAAAAAAATATTAAGTTGGCAAGCATAAATAGTAGTATCACATACGGACAGTGTGTTCCAGGCCAAGCACACTGTTTTGTGCTAAAGTATGGAATATATTGGTTAAAGTTAATTTTGTAATCATTAGTATTTTTGTAGCCATGAATGCATGCCTTGGAACATCTTAAGATATATATGTGTGTGTGTGTGTGTGTGTGTGTGTGTATACACACACATATATATATTTTATATATATATTAAAATATATAGGTCCTGTTTCATGTTTTATTATCACCTACATGTCGCACATAAATTTTTTAAAGTACAATATTATTCTTGAGGATGATTGTTTATTTTGAAAATGAAAACATCACCAGGGAATTCTAAAAGTAACAAGTAGTTGAGAGATGTTACAAACTAATTCTCAAGATTATTGTGGCATTCTAACATAATTATAGAAGGAAAGTTAATCTTCAATCTTAAAAAATGAATGGCATAAAATACAAATTAACATATACAAGTTAGATTGTATTTGAGAGAGCACTATGAGACAGAATGAATTTAACTTTAAAAGAGAGAGTTATAATTTGTTTAAAATATTTAAAAACCATTATTCTTATGTCCTAATACTGTTTTTGCAGTACAGACACACTGTCTTCCACATTTCATCCTAAATTTATTCTTTATGTATTTTGAGATTTAATATAAGAGACTTCTTTTGCTTCCCTTGTCAAATAGTGGTTAAACACATATTTGAAACTTAAAAAGCTAAACTAAAATAAGCATTTTCCTTGTGGTATCATGAGCATACCATATAACAATAACCAAGATGTTTGCTTTTCCTGACTTCTTATAGAGTGGGAGAAAGAAGAGAAAACCAACAATCCAAAATCCATTAACCTTTTACTCATTTATCAAGATTACCTCAAATTCCTCTTATCTGAGACCATTATTTTCAAAACCCATTTTGTGCAAAATAATTGTCATTGAGGGTTATAAAGTAGATATGCAATTCATCAATGCCTCTAGGTATCAGTTTAACCTTTGGATCATGCTGAATGACCAGAGAGGGAATCACCAGTTATTCTGAATTATCTTCCTGAGTTGTTCTTTTTACTGTTGACTGATATTGAAAGATTGTTTAAAAAAAAATCCACATTAAACACTCTGTAATTGTTGAATAGATGCTGTTAAAGGTGACCATCACATTATACTGGGCTTCTTTTGAGGGACTCCTGGAAGAAATTTTCACAAGTTTGCTTGTCTTATAGACATTAGGAATGTTAGAACTACTGTGTTTTCTTTGTTACTTTGTGTATTTGTTTGCCAGTCCTGCCATAATCAAATACCACGGATTGGGTAGCTTGCAGAACAGAAATTAGGTTTTTCGGAATTCTGGAGCCTGGAAATCTAAGATCAAGATGCTGGCAGAGTTGGTTTATCTTGAGTCCTCTGTCCTTGTTTTATACATGACTGCTTCCTGTTGTCCTCACATGGCCTGGCCTTTTCTCTGTGCACATGTGTCCTGGCATCTCTTCCTCTTCTTAGAAGACCACAAGTTCTATTGGATTAGGACTTCACCCTTATGACCTCATTTAACCTCAAGACCTTACTTCCAAATGTAGTTATATTGGGGATTAGGGCTTCAATATATGAATTGTGGGGGAACACAATTCTGTCCATTACATTTTGTTACTAGGGATTTGAGAGCCAAATCTGTGTACCACATCAAGTAGTATCAGAAAATACTTCACAATATTTTTCTATCCATATTTTACCTTTAACCTGATTTTCTTGTTTTTCTTTTTCATATGTACTGTATTTTTCATAAAGCACCTTGAATCTTTTTTATAAGACAGAGGACACATAAGCAAATAAATGAATTCTCTTCTGTAATAGATTTGTATGTCTATTTGCTCACTGGAAGTGCCAAAAGGTGCTGGAGAGGGTTCAATGGTCATACTCCTCTGAGTATTGTCAAGCAGGCAAGTACTTAGGCTGCAAAGCAAACCAAAATTTATTTGGGGTCTTCAGGAATTCAAACCCAGGAGACACAGACTCAGGAGGAAACTAAAATATGTTCTAAGGTGGGAGGAAAATGACAGACCATATAAAGGCAAAACTACAGGCTTATATAAGTTGTTTTGCAAGAACTCTGACTGGTGTGGGTAAAAATAATTAATGTTGGTCTATTTAGGATAGGTTACTATACCAGGTTTAGGTTACTATACAAAGTTACTATACAAAGTATAGTAACCTATAGTATAGCTGGTATACTAACCTATACCGGTATAGGTTACTATAGAAATGCTAAGTTGCATTTCTGTGATGTGAGCCTCATTCTAAGAACTGCAACAGAATGTAGCCATTTGTGGTTGGCACAACCTAAAATTCATGTTCTGTTCAGGTGTGGTCATGCATTTCTCCAGTGGTCTCCTGGCTCCTGACATCTTAGGGCCCTTGACATTCCTGACTCCATTTTGGATGTTTCTGTTCATGGTACAATTAACCAATTTAAATCAGTGTTTAGGTTTGTAATATATATTAAAATGGAATAGCTCTTTCTCCCTTTGATAACAGAACCTTAATGAAATTAAAATTTTATACACTGTGAAGTTGTTTTCCTACTTAAGTTGATTCTTCTTTCTTTTGTTCTAGAAAATCTTAAAGAAGAAGGATCAACAGCCTATCAAACCAAAGCCAGGACCAAAGCCAGGACCTGGGTATAACTTTTTTTTTTCCAGGTGTATCTTTTATATGATAGCAGAAAAGTATAAATTAATGTGCTTATTTTGGGTTTTATCTTGACTTAAGTATTTAGGTTTAAAGAAATGCACATGGTTGAAAGCTCAAAGTTTTACCATATCATTTTCAGTATTTCCATTTACTCTGACTAAGGCAAGGAGAAAAAAAAAAAACTTTTTGAGTATATTAATGATCATTCGGTAGACCAGGCTAGCTTACTATGTAGTAGCTGGGAAAAGTAGTGTAACTTACTTTGTAGTAGCTGGGAAAAGTAGTGTAACAATACTATAATGTAATGCTTCAGCTGTTTTTTGTGTTAGAAACAGGACACTACAATTCACTACGCTAAAAGCATGCCTTTCAATGAATCTGTGAAGGGATTCTTTAGATTGCCATGCTACTACATGTAGCAAATTTGTTGACAAACTTTTATGAAAAACTATTGATTTTGTGAGATAGATTATACAGTGAGGTGGAGAGAAGGGATTGTAAAAAGGTAACCCCGAAGTTTCTTAGAAGGACAGGTTTCATACTTGTGTTTTCTTATTCACTGGTAATACATCCATTCATTAATCCACCAAATATTATTTTAGTACTGATAGTTTATTCAGTCAATAATGAATATCAAGCACCTGCTATTTTAGGTGCTAAGGACAGAGTGAACACAATAAAATCTTTGTTATGGCACTTAAAGCCTAGGCAGATTGCTATTCATCATGGAAGGAGGTAGAAATTGGAGTTTAAGTCCTACCAAGTGATGGGGACTTAATGAACACCTCAGTCTTTCCATGGAAGTCTTAGAAGGCCAACACCTAAGGAGTGGTGATTATTCATAGGAGTAAGAGATTCACCTTAGTACTAAGGACAAAACAAATTGATTTGCTCTAACAAAAGCATGAAAACAAGCCTTCACAAGTTAAAAATGATAAACAAGTAATTCAGCCACCACCTAGAATTAAAAAATAAAAATCGACATTCCTCTGAGAACAAAAACAGAATCAAGAATTTCTACAATGTACAATGTTTATATATAATAAATAAAATATTAGACATGAAGAACAGGAAAATCTGGCTCACATCAAAGAAAAAGATATCCCAGATGTTTGAATTATCAGGTAAGAGCTTTAAAGGACCTAGAGGAAAAGAAGTTCATAATAACAGAGAATGACAGTTTAGAAATAGAAACTATAAAAAATAATCAAATAAAAATTCTGGAACTGAGAAATACAGTATCTGATATTAAAATGTCATTGGATGGGTTGAATACATATTGGGAAAGAAAGTAGAAAAGGTCAGTAAACTTGTAGATCTATAGAGACTTGTCTGAGGCACAGTAAACCATAATTAGAATAAAAATGAACAAGGCCTGACTGACCTATCATTTAATATCAAGTGGACTACCATATATGAATTGGAGTCTCAAAAGGATAAGAGAAATAGAAAAGAGGCAGAAAAAATAGTTGAAGATACAACAGCTGAAATTTTCCTAAATTTAATGAAAAACATCTTTACATATCTAAGATCATCATATCTAAGCAAGATAAATACAAGAAAAACCCCATGTAGGCAGAGCCTAGTCAGAGTTGAGAATCAAAGGCAAAGAAAAACTTTGGAAATAACCAGACGGGGAAATACACATTATTCAGAGGGTTACAATTCTCAGAATGATGGATGTCTTTGCATCAGAAATGATGGAGGACAGAAGGTAGTAAAATTATAGCTTTAAAGGGCTGAAATAAAAAAAAAATTATCAATTGACAATTCTGTATCTAATGAAACTATCTCACCGCATTGAGGATTAAAAAAACAATTTTCAGTTAAAGAAATGAGAATTTATTGCCAACTGATCTGCACTTCATAAATGTTAAAGAAAGTTCTTCATGCTGAAAGGAAATGATACCTGATGAGAATTTCAATCTACAAGAAGAAATAAAGAAGATTGAAAATAGAAAATATGTACTGATCTGTACAAAAGAATATATTTTTTAAAAATTCTTTAATATTGACCATTTAAGGCAAAATTATAACATTATTATGTTACTTACAAGTTAGGGAGGTGCAAATTTATGTGACAATAAAAGAAATAGAGTTATTCTCTTGCAAGTTACAATTTTATATGTAGCAGTATTAATCCTAAATAGAGTGTGGTAAGTTAAGAATGCATATTACAATTTCCTGAGCAACCATTAATACAAAAAGGCAAACCTAAAAGTACATAAACTAAAATAGAATACCAAAAACTGTTCAGTTAACCCAAAAGAACACAGGAAAGTAGAACATATTGAGTAAATAAACAAGAAATAGAAAATGGTAGACTTTAGCCCAACTGTAGCAACATTTATAGTAAATATAAAGAATAAACAGTATACTTAAGAACAAGAGTTCATCAGGCTGGATAAAAAAGCAAGACCTAACTCTCTGTTCTCTGTAAAAGATGAATTAATTGGAAGTAAAAGGATAGTCAAAGATAAACAATGAAAAAAAGCTAGCAGAAGAATGCTAGAGTGGCCGTATTAACATCAAGGCCGACTTTGAGGACTTTTTCAGCATCAAAGAGGGCAGAAACTTCCTAATTGTAAAAGGGCCAATTAATCAGAATTAACTGATAATCCTAAATGTATATACCTTACTAATAGAGAGTCAACATAAATAAAGCAAAACTTGACAGGATTAAAGAGCAAAATGGATGACAACCCCATAATTACGGCTAGAAAAATTTCCCATACCTCTTTTAGTAATAAGAAAATTAGTAAAAAGAATAAAGAATTATATTGCAGATTTGAACAAGCCACCAAGTTAACTTGACCTAATTGACATTTATAGAAGACTACGGTAAACAACAGTAGAATATACATTCTTTCTCAGTGTACATGTAACATTCATTACAGAGATAAGAAAGCAGTGAAATAACAGAGAAACAATATGGCAAGTTAAGAAAGCCAAAAATTGGTTCTTTGAAAAGATTAATAAAATTTGTAAGGTCATAACAAAACTGATCAGGAAAAAGAAGAGATACAACACAAAGTCTGGTATTAAAAATAAAGGAGATGTGAATAACTTCATGCCTGCCACGTGCAACAACTAAGATGAAGTGAACAAATTCTTTGAAAAAAGATAACATACAAAACTGACAGAAGAATAAATAGAAAATTGGATGATCCATGTCTATTAAAGATTGAATTTGTTATCAAAAACCTTTCCACAAAAAGACTTGGTTTAAAGAAAGAAGGCTGTTTTTTATAACTATTTAATAGTGTTAAAACCAGCTGATTTGTCTTTTTCCTATAAATATCTCTTACCTGGTTAGCTTGATTGGGAGGTCTTTTTTCCTCACAGGTGTCACTAAATTAAAATCTAGTCCAGCCCTTTCAATGATTAAAAAACTGTACAGTCTGAAAATGAGTGTTTATTATAGTTATTTAACGGGAGCCAGCCAGCTAATCTGAATGCTAAACATTTTCCTGTATGGTTTACCATCTGTTGCCGGCATAAAGAGCTATGGCAAAGTTTTGCAGGGATATCCAGATAATTTTTGCAGGATATCTTAAACATTTTAGCAAATAATGGCTGAAGAGAAGTTTAGAGGTCTTTTGATTTAATCCTTTTAATTTCTACTTGAGAAAATTGAGATTCAAAAAGATTGTGACCTTTTCAAGGACACAAAAGTAAAAAGAACAACAAAATCAACAAACAGGACTGTTAACTAGGATCCAACTGTTAATTCTCAGTATTCTTACCAATCATACTGCTTTATGCCATTTGTCTATTAATTGTTAACAACCTTTCTGATGATTACTTAAGTAGACTGAAACCTTACTTCATGAGTTAGCAAATCTTAGAGGGCTCTAGTGATCACTAGAATAAAATCCCAGGGAGAGGGAAACAATGTGAAAACAAAGCAAAGTGGTGAACCATATAAAGCTGTAAATACATCACACACAGACAATTTCATTGCAAATATCTAAGTGAAATATTGTTAATATTTTCTTGTTTATTTGAAATCTTGCACCATTTCTATCATAGAAATTCCATGTAACTTTTTAAAATCCAAATGTTGGGACTCTATCAGCTTGGCCGGAAGGAACTTTCTTGTTAGAGAAGAATTTCCCATATATTTTCAGCTAGAGGTTTCCTTACAGTCTACATGAAGCAGAGTGTATTATGTAACCTTCCATCAGTCATCAGTCAACTTCAGTAAGGTACTGGCCAATTTCTAAAGTACTTTTGCATTTCAAGGGTAAGAATATGTCACCCATATATTACCACTGTCAGGCTACAGTAAGTATAAGAGAGTTTGTACTTTCCCCTTCTCTTCTTAGTTATATTGAAAAAAAAAATGACGGAATTCATTCACAGATACCCACAAGTTTGCAGGAACCCTCTACATTTGGCATATAGGATTGGTTTATGCACCTACTCAGCAGTATTTTTTAAAGAAACACCCCCTTGTCTGTTAAAAGGTGGGGCAAAGAAGTTAAGCTAATTAAAACTACTGCTGCTGCACTGGATTTGGAGTCATGGTAAATTTGTGCACCTGCTCCTGTTCTCAGAGGAATGGAACTTGTTGCCTCATAGATAAATGATGGTTCCTAAGGCAGAGTCATGATCATTTCTGTCCTAATCTTCAATGATCATATGCCTAAAAGACAAACTTTCAAATTTTTTTCTTTCTTTCTTTTTATTTTTATTATTTTTTTGGTCTTACCTCCCTGCTTTTTCAACTGTGAAGATCTCAAAATTTAGAAGGAGAAGAAAAGATGGCATGGTACATTTGCCTATACAAATAGGTGTACAGATGTACATAAGACTTTTCATTAGTGTTATTATTAAACAAGGAACTGTAATCCTCAAATCCAGTACATTTAAGTTGAATTTAGTAGGTTGTAGTTGCCAAAAAGTGGCTACTTGATTTTATTTTTGGGTTCTTAAATATATGTATTTGTGTATTTTTATGAGAAAGAGATGATCTATTGCCTTG